AACAAGATGGTTTCCCTCTAAAATACACTGATGTTCGCTAGTACTATGTATATATATTTTTATAGTAAGAGAGTGAGAGAGAGAATGACATGGAAATACAAATATCTACATTATAAATACATATAAAAATATATAGGATGAATTAATTACAATATATTAGGAAAAGAAATGCACATCTATAAACCCACTAAAAATAACAGTACTGTATTTGTTTGTGTCACAAACTTTGGTAGTCAAATTTAATGAATTCAATTATTTTGTATCATAAGGTAAATTTATGAGGTTATGACACTGTCCAGCTTTCACTGGTCACCGAGTACATAACTGACTTCCTTGTATAATTTGGTACATATACATAAACTGGGTAATGTATCACAGTAAAGTTAATTTCTGTAACTGTTTAACGCATGTGTATTTACTAACTTTTCCTTCCAGCTTTACTATGTTTACATCGTACTGAACAGAACTCGTATCTGGCTCATTTTGGTGAATAGCAGAAACTTGGAATCTCAATCCTTCACTCTTCACCGTACAAATGGTTGTCTACAAGTAAAAAAAACACTTCATTTTCATAAAAAATTAGAGGAATGTTTAAATCATTTCTTAAATCACTGGAGTCAATATATATTTCTATTTTATGATGCAAGTAATTCAACAAAATGTAGCGTGTAAAGTCCAATAAGGACTTAGCCTATAAATACTAAAAATATGATATAACTAACCTAAGTTTAATTCTTTCATTCTGAAGGATTCTTTTGGGTAACTAAAAACTAAAAAACAGAAATATAGTAGGGTGAGCTCCAATGAAAAATATTACTAATATAAAATCAGTACACTTCCAAAACTGAATATATTTTCATATATATATTAAAAAGAATGATTCCAACATTTTTCTTAAATAAATCTTTCAAAAGTTAATGCTTCATTTAGAATCATCTCTAAAGCTTTTAGATAAAATTAATATAGATTTTATTTACTGAGATCAGCTTAAATAAATTATGTGTATTTGTATCTATTTTCAATACTCCATTTACAAACAATTACCCACTTACTAAATAATGAATTATACAAGACAATTTATAAACATTCATTCAATTTTTACACAGGTGTTATAATATTTTCTTCTTTTCAATAGATCTCCATACTCACAGTTGTTTTGCTTAAGGCAGAAGAATCAAAAGTTCAAAATTGAAATGACATTAAACTGAATATATAATAGATCGCAAAAACATGGCAATTTATAAAAAACTCCTCTGCTTAACCTTTATGATCCTAACATGCTGCATCATCACTGGTTGTGGATCTATATTTTGAATAGATCAATAACTATTATAAAGCTTGTGAAGTTCATGTGAACGAGTCTCTATTTTATTTCCTCAGCAGACTTAGTTTCACCAACACAGAACATTTCAAGCTGTCTTATGCGGCACAAAACTATACTTGTACCTAGCTCAACATGTGCTGTTTCCAGTCATTCATCAGCAGTCCATTCTGTTAATCAAGATGTAGTCATACATATACATGAATAATCAAAAGTAGTGTGACTAACTAAATGCAAGGTTTCTAATATGATACATCATGCTTTTTTAGCAAAAAACTGCAATTCACAAGTAGAGGTGCATAATCTGATTTACAACAGATATATCTTTTTATAACATAGCTCTGTTTCAGGTTATACCTATAGAAATTAAGTATAGACTGAGCAAATATTTTTAGGAGTGGGTAAATAAACAATTGTTTCGAACATCAAATCACACACCTCAATTGTTCAGTTATTTAAATTGGTTAATTTACTTACAATAAATATACAAGTAAGTTTCTATTTTATTTTGATACATATGCATTGCATATAAAACAGTTTTCCACAATTTTGATGTAAATTACAATGAAATTAGCCTTCAGGAATGAGAGCACCACAAAAATTACAATGAAGTTAGCCTTCAGGAATGAGAGCACCACAAAAATTACAATGAAATTAGCCTTCAGGAATGAGAGCATCACAAAAATTACAATGAAATTAGCCTTCAGGAATGAGAGCACCACAAAAATTACAATGAAATTAGCCTTCAGGAATGAGAGCACCGCAAAAATTATAATGAAATTAGCCTTCAGGAATGAGAGCACTGCACTGTTTAACATATGTGTGTCCATTTCTCGGTAAAATAAAGAATTTTAAAATGTATTAATAGTAGGATAAAGGTGCTTGGACAAGTACTGATAGTAATGATGTTTTAAAGGAGTACACATATATGTATACATGACATTTATAAATAGTACTAAATATAAACACAGTAATCCCTTAAGACAAAACATACTACATGACAATTAGCAACATATTTAGTTTACTAATGGGATTTTTAGACTTTTAGCTCCGATTGAAAATAAATTTTAATTTCTTTACTTCATTTAGCATTTGTACAGTTAAATGTTTCTTCTGATCAAACAACACAACAGTGCAACTGACCAGTAAAATGTTTCCTCAACTGTAAATAAGGCCAATAATAATGCCTTATACTTCACAAACATGTATATTCATGCTATATTTCTGTAGGAAAGGCTAACAGACATTAATGATACAGTTCAATGTATCATGAATTTCACAATAACATGTGTACTTCTACAGGGAGTGACATTCTTTGAAGTACTTCTAGAACATTCCTTCATATTCTTGATTTTTTGTTACTCCTCCCCTCCTAAATTCATTAAGTTTTATTGCCTAAATATAAGTTCATTTTTAAAGCAAGTGATATGCAAATTAAAGTAGATCAACATTTTTCTTTCTCATTCTAAAATCAGTTTTGATCCAGGAAGCCAAACAGGAACAACATACAGAGCATTACATTGAGAAGGACAGATCAATAGGTGCTTTAGTACAGTCAATAAAATCTAGAGGTACAAGTACATACGATATTGTACCAGTTACGTACATGCTACGTTTATTAACTAAACCTACTGCAGGTCTACATCTATAACCAGTGTACTGTTCTGTATAACCTTAAAAAAATCTTATTTACAGAAATGGCTCTAAACTATTCATTATCGTGCATTAAAATTAGTTTTGGGAATAATTAAATTTTAGCACTTGTTAGGTTTAAATTAACCTAAAGAATTCTTCTAAATCTCAATTCTAAATGTATATTGGCATACTTAATATTTCTACTAAAACTTGAAACATTAAACTCTACCCTTACCTTTTATAAATATAGTAAATATAAAAATTATGAAAAGATAAGTTTTACAACCTCAAAACTTAGTAGTTTTAGCCTAGTGTAACAGTACCAAACATAAAGCTTTGTAAAGATATAAACATTTACATGTTAAATAAGCCTAAACTCAGTAGTTTGAGCCTAGTGTAACAGTACCAAACATAAAACTTTGTACAGATATAAACATTGACATGTTAAATAAGCCTAAACTCAGTAGTTTTAGCCTAGTGTAACAGTACCAAACATAAAGCTTTGTAAAGATATAAACATTTACATGTTAAATAAGCCTAAACTCAGTAGTTTTTAGCCTAGTGTAACAGCACCAAACATAAAGCCTTGTAAAGATATAAACATTTACATGTTAAATAAGCCTAAACTCAGAAGTTTTAGCCTAGTGTAACAGTACCAAACTTAAAGCTTTGTAAAGATATAAACATTTAAATGTTAAATAAGCCTAACTTCTAAAAATATTTAAAGAAACATAATATTACCACTGCATGATTTGTTTTGTTTTTTACTTTCATTATGTGTTTCATACTATCAAAAACACCTCTATATTTTACAAAGGTTATTTTCAGGATTGATATGTTTTTCTCCTTTTAGATTGACAGAGACATTAGTTAAAAAATTTCAGTTCCTTCATTTTGTTTAGCAAAATTTGACAAACTCATTCGAATAAACTTTTCCTCACCAAGGCTATAACAACAAATAATTTGTGATAATCAATATGCACAACTTGACCTTTGGTTGTTGGACAAGTTAATCAAATGGTTTAAATCTCTCTACAAACTACAATATGTACAGCACAATCCGAAAGACTCATTAATTTCAGCCCATCTGCAAGCTTAACCAATTTGCTGGTTATGCCATAAATGATGTCATTAATGAAAACAAAAAATAGCAAAGAATCTATCATAGAATCCTTGTACCATAAATGAACTATGACTTCACACTATTTATAGCAATCTTTTGTCTTCTACCACTTAAAGAACTTTCAATTAAATAATTCAATCAACTTTTATTAGCTTGTCTATTGCCTTGACAGATGCAATGTTTGCAAATTAATAAGATTTGACCTTCCCTCTCTAAATCCATGCTCAATATCTGTGACATGAAACTTGCCTAAATGCTTTTGTAGAATGTCTTTAATTACAATATTACACATCGACAAAAAAATGTAAAATTTTTATCTTTTATGGCTGTCTTTGCCTAATCATCCTTGTGAAAGTAAAAATTTACCCCCCTTTACCTTTCAGGAAATCAATTCTCCTCTTAAACTCTTATAGATCGCTGGCCTGAACTGGCCTGAACTGTTTTAACTGGAGTCTAACCTGTCTTTTTCAAACCTTAAACCCATGTTTCTTCATTCTATTTATTTCAGAATACAGGACAAAGAAATAAAGGGCCTTTATCCTATCAATATTCCAGAAAACTTAGTAAATTTCAATACTATCACCTATTATTATTATTCTTTTCTACAGAGAAAATATGCTTAACCTATTCCTTTAAGATAAATAATTGCACTGCTTTTTGCCTCTTTCTTAAGGTCCAGGCTTTCTTAAGTGTCCATTTTTGAACTTTAAATGTTGAAAAAATATATTCTCCTATATGCATGATTTATACAGTTCTTGAAAATATAACTACTGAAAAACCTTGTGACAAATATCTAGCACTTGGGCTATATTCTGCCATATTTTTCCTCCTTGAAGATGACTACTGTTTTTCATGTGTTCTCCTTTACCAGATTATATTGTACTTAGAATAAAAAGACAAAAAGCAAACAAATTGGAAGAAGGTTTTCCCATCTGCTGCCTTTTTTCTGTGATAATATTTCAGCTGCTGACTTTGTTTACCAACCATTCTAAAAGTGAAACCCATCACTGAAATGCATACCACCTCTGTATATTAGCAAAGACAGATGTGGAAATTAATGTGATCTCCTTTACGTTTCTACAGTAAATCCAGCTACAGCAAGCTAATAAGAATTGTTATTTTGTATTAGACTACTTTCACAGATCATAAACATAAGCTTTTATTATAATGTGGCATTATACTAAGAAGTGCAAAGCATGTATAAGGAGTTGAATTAAAATGGCTATCTCCTTTATCCATTCTGTGAACTTCTTTACATGCATCTCACCATGTCCCCAATTATCTGTTTTTATAAATACACTCCTAATTATCTCTCACAGATTTAGCTTTGTAATTTATCAGTCATTTAAACCTAAAACTACTACCACTCACACCGTTTAAATGTTAGTTATACGGTTAGAAATACACACCTGTTATGTAATCCCATTTTAAAGGACTTTTCTTGTATGAATATGAGTTGCCTTGTGACTAATACATTTTAAATCCACCCTATCATAATCATCTGCACATGGTGGAAATTAAATATGGTGGGAAAAGCATTATGTACTCTATATATTCCCCTCTGTAGCAAAACTGAAGTAATGGAGAACACATAAAGGAGTTCACGAAATTTCATGTTCAGTAATTTTTATTGAAGAATGCAATTTACTCTTACCCCTTCAGTTATTGATAACTGTATAACGATATAACAAAATGACATAATTTGAGTATCTACACTAGATATGTGTAAAAGAGATCACATGCTTAAAAACTAATTTTATTACAAGCTCCAAATGGACATATCCAATACATCTCTTGATACCCTGTGTTTGGAATATGATCAAATGAAATACTTCCCAGATTGATTTTAGACTCTAATCTATTTATTTACTCAAAAATTTGCAATTATTGTCTTGAAAATAAACAACTGTAAAGGAGAACACATGATTACGGCGACACATTATTTTGAATATTTTTTTATATGTGAAAAAGTAATGGGACAATCAGCTGATAAAAAATTTTCAAAACATAAATGTTTATTAATTAGTCACAACAAAGACTTGAGTCTTACTTACAATTTTTGTGTTTGTGTTATTGTTTTGAAATTAAACGTTTCTGCAGGCAACATGCTACTTTTAACACCCCACCATTGTTTATTTCCTTGGTATGCTGGAAAATCATAACACAAACTCAACATATTATGTATGTTTGGAAAGCTCTGTCCATTATCTATCATTTAGAAATTATTATATGTTTGTGTAAGGTATGCAGTCAGAGAAATCTGCCACAGAACACTGGCCACATCAGATTGGACACTTGAGAAAGCTAGATGAATTATGGATATCTTACAGGGGACAATGGAGCCATTTGCAATGTAAGCTACACTGCATGACTATTGTCAAAATGAATGGCCATCAAAGAGGAGCATGACCATATGTGATGAGGCTCCAAAATCATTTTAATATAACACACTCAACCTCTATAGTGTCATGCAAATGTAACAGATTTTCAGCTAGAAATTTAAATTATACCTACAACATTGTTATTCAGTTCTGGAGATGTAGAGATATCAGTCAGGTTGAGAGGAAAATCTTCAGCTTGAACTTGCTCAAACTTCACAAGAACACCATTCTAAGAATTGTATTTAAAAAGAGAAAGAAAAGTTTCAATTCCTTTACATGTTTATGGTTAAATACACTATTTGTATGTAATAGTATATTTTTAATTCTTTTTATTTGGTAACTTATACCAGACATAGTTTATTTAGATTCTCTAGAGATACTTATACTTTTATAGTATCTATGGAACAACAGAAAAATGAACCATTTGTAAATAAGCAGGAAATACGAGAATAATGTTTTGTCTATATAATGTTTTTATCTTCTCAAATTCATATTCAAGCATTTATTTTATTCTCATATTATAGAGGTAAATGCCTAAGTTTAAGTCCATTCCTATTGTAGGTACTAACGTTATAAAGATTTTGTTCTTCAGAGACTCTTGTATATGTTCAGCTGATTGGTAAAGCTATAATAAAATATCACGTTATCATAACAATATAAAGTTAAGGCAAAAGCTGTTTATCAGTCATTAATATGTTTTATGAATTTGTAGTTTGAACTCCATGTAACTCAATGCTTAGACAAAAATCAAGAATGCTATTTTTTACAATTGCATAACAGTCACATGGTTAAAATAAGCACAGTGGCAGCATTTTTTTGTGTGTGGCATAATTGATTGAATATTCTGTGTTTTAATGCCTGACCGACTTAAATTTAAGTTTCAGAACTAACTTATAGGTTATAATAAACATTAATAACCTACAACGATAAACCAATACTTCTGTACCGGTGCCGTTTGGCTAGTTCCGGTATCGGAGGGCGTTGACCTTACCTCAGCTGATGCTTTTTTAGCCTTATCATTCAGTGCAGATAACCAAGTTTCGACAAGAAAATTACTATTGCACTTGGAGTACACCCATATTAAGGAGTTATTGATCCAATCCACGCTGTTCGGATCGGAGCCTTGAGTTATTGGGCAAACTCTTTGAGAAACACTACTGTAAATCGGACTTATATCAGTATCATACACCTTTTCTCTTTCAAGTTTGGACGCTATCAGCTTCGCTTTTTCCGCATGTATAAGTGTTGATCCGTCAACTTCTGCGGCACTTGCATCTGGAGTAGGCTGCTTATGCTTCACAAGTTCATCTTTTTCATGAATTTTAGTTTGATCTGAAATCTCCGACTTTACAATTTTTTTATCTTTTCGAGACGCTATGATATTTCCTAAGACGAAAACAATTATAGCAAGCAAGCACCACCCGTAAACATTAATATTAACGATGTCAAACATTTTCTTGCATTCGTTTTATGTACTTAAATGAATTAAATACCAACGAATATTAACATATTTCGATCAACCGGTATACACTTGTCTTTACAGCAGTATCAACCATATCCAGAGGATTGAGCAGTTTGACATGCGCGCGCACAAAATGCAGACGCCACACCTATTGGACTTCATCTTGCGTCATGCGCCTTAGAAATGCAGACGTTTAAGTTAATCTTGTTGGAATATTAGTTATCGCTCTCAAGTTTTGTTATTTTAGTGCCAATCTGAAATCACACATACACAAAACATCACTTCCCTACAAAATTAACATATTAAAACGATAATATTATTTTGGGGTTCTTTTATATTTATAATATTTTATCATTATTATATCCTGTCAGTATAGCACTATTTTCCCTTGTTTTACTTCGAAACAAAAAGCAACAAATAAGGGATCAGATAAAACCTCAATGTTAATTATATAAAACTTTAACCAGAAGAGTTGCTAAAAATCTACCAACAAATCTTACATTCAAAATGTATATCGAAAAACATGAAAATATGTTCAGTGATTACTTGCAGTTTGCGATTTTTGTTTTTAGTTTCGTAAGTCTATTCGTTCTCATTATGTATTCATAGAGGATCATCACGAAGGCCTCAAATTTTTACTGTAATAGAATTTTCTTTGCTGTATGCAAGAAATTATTGGAACGCCTATAACATGATATATTCATTGATTGATTTAATCATATATTTTGTAGTTATTTATAATAAATAATGAAATATTAACTAATATTAAAATCTACTTTGAGTATGTGTCAATAAAAATGGTGCTTCTGATTACAATTTAGTTCGGAAATGTTTATAACAATTCTCTCGATTCACAGTCATGAGTATGCCTCTGAAGAAACAAGGTCTTTTTTCTCAATATACTATAACAGGAGCCTCTTACATGGGACATAAGTATATTAAAAATATATCGAATATAGTATACTGTTACCACAATATAAGTGTTTTTCAATTTAAATATTTAATAACCATGAAACTAATGTAGCGCCATCTGTTGTAAAATATTTTGATAAAAGAGTT